CTTCGGTACTAGAAGGATATTGTGATGCCAACTGGGTAGCTAATAATGATGAAGTAAGTTCTACGAGGGGGTATGTTTTCACCTTAGGTGGTACAACGATATGTGTTGTAAGATGAGACATATTCACATTAGACATGAATTAGAGAGACATTTAATAAGGAACAAAGTACTCTCCTTATAATATGTGAAGTCGAAGAGGAACCTAGCTAATCCGCTTACTAAAGGGTTAAGTCAGAAATTGGTTTTGGATTCGTCGAGGGGGATGGGTTTAAAGCCCATTAGTTGAGAAATTAATGGTAGATACCCAAATTAGTTATCTAAGTTCAATGTGGTCAAATGAACCATGAAAAGACTCATAATGTGCATTCTCTTATCTATCCCTATGATGAATAATGTACATGTACATGATGAGCTTAATTGCTCTTAATAAATTCATAGTCCATGTTTTGGGTGGTCTTAGTAAGAAAGACTTGATGAATTTACCAATTTTTTGGCTGAATATATATTCTTAATAAGTTCACAACCCAGTGTTGAGTGGGTAGTCTTAATCGTGAAAGACTATGTGAACTTTCCGCTTGTAAGGTTGAAGTTCTTTAAAAACTCTTAATGAATTCACCAATTATTGATGTTGAATATTTATTCTTAATGATTTCTTATCCCTGAGTTTGGGTGGTTCATTTAAATGAACCTGAAGAAATTCACCTTACTTATATGTGAGGATGAGTTGTCGTAAAAGCTCTTAATTATTTGATAGCTCGATTTTGGGTGGTTTATGTAGAGATAAACTTAATGAAATAACCTACGTAAGTGAGAAGGATTAGTCATATTCTATGAAAAACGTTGGGTTGTTTTTCTAATATGCTTATCATAATTCTAAGGAAATAAGGCTACTTGTATATTCATTTGTATATAATCTTTGTTGACACATCGAGGACTTTTGTGGATGAAGAGGTTAATTGTGTGGTATGAGTTAACCTTAATCTTAGAAAGTTCAAGATTCATTCACTTATATAAGAGAAGAATTACTAACCATCACTATGTACTAGTTCCAGATACGTTTACTAGTGCTTTTCTCTCATTTTATAAATTTAAAACATTTTTTTCTTTTAAAAAGAATTCTTTCATATTTTGTGGGGGAATGTTGGTTGTACTTAAGAACACTTATCCCACATTGGAATGGTATATCCCTTGTGAAGGGTATTTAAAGAGACCTATTCTCCCCTCCTTGTTGAATGTAGTTAAGATACTCCCTCGCACCCGCCCGCCACCCTCGCTGCTGTTCGGTCGGGCTGGGTCGGGTCGTGGTTAGGTCGTGTCGTGGTCATGGTCGGGCCAAGCCGAGTCGTGATTGTGGTCGTGGTAACACGTGTCTTCGACACGTCTGCGCGCGTTCTATCTTTTTGAAGAAAACACGAAAAATTTCTTTGAAACTAAAATTGAAATGAGAATTTTCAAAATATATTTATAGGCAAAGTAAATTTCAAACCGGTCAAATTATTTGTTAGAATTAACTGGTTGATTGTTGAAAATTTGAAACTAATTTGTTGTGTTAGTTGTTAATTTTGATTTTGACTTTCACATATTGAACTAGATTCGAGTCTTTATTACAACAAACAAATTATAATTTTTTGAGCTTGATTTCAGCAGTTTGTCTATTGAATTAATAGTTGTCTCAACAACTATTTTTATGAATGAACCTGGACGGTTTTGAGGCCATGTTTATCATGTTATAGAATTTTTACAACATTTAATTTCTGGAATTAAATCAATAATTTATTACTTGATTCAATTTTTACTATTTTACCCCTTGTGCAAGCCTATAAATAGATATGATTTTTCTCACTTTCAGATCATCCAACAACTCAAGCTTTTCCTCTCTTTTACAAACTCTCTCAAAAGCTTACATATTTTCCGGTGAGAATAGCAATTCCACCATTGTCCACTCTGAAAATTTGGGTGTACGAATTTTTTGAGAGTCGTGTTAACCTCGGGGGACTACCACCTATAGCAACAATTACACACATCGAGGAAAAATTCATTTTCTTATTTTATTTATTTCCGGTCAATACTAACAATCTTGTTTTGCAGTTTCTATTTCCAACATTTTTTTTCAAAAAAAAAACTATTAATGTTGGTCCATAAGAAAAGAATATTAAACTTGAAAGTATATTGGGTAACAGTGAATTTTGAATGTTGCATGGCATGCATTTTTCATTAAATAATCACACGGCATTTGGGGCATCACACATTCAAATTTCAAAGCACATCAATTCTGACATAAATAAAATCCATAAATTAAATCACCATTATGTTCCCATCTTTTATGTCCATGCAAAAGGTTTGTAAATTAACTTTGTTAGAATTTAGGGCCTTTTTTGTATTATTTATTTATTTATTTGCTGTTGTAAACGGGTCGGGTAATATATTTATTACTGAAATTCAACTTTTTACAGTATTAATCTAAGATTTTCAGTTTCATTAATGAAAATAAGTGCAACTCAAGGGTGCCTTTCATTAAAAAGTTAGGCACCGTCAATGGTGTCAATGGAATACAAATGCTGCAATACAACAACAACAATAAAACCTTATTCTCATATGCAATGGAGTAAGGGGAGGTAGGTTAGTAGGCTGCCCCCAACACCAGGTTGAGAGTAGATTCCGTGGAAGACCTCCGGCAGTCAGAAAATTAAAAAAAAGATAAAATACAATACATGTATAAATAAATACATAGTTGAACAGTCTTCATATGCAGTCATTCATATGTGGGTCTGTAATGGGAAGTAATCTCTGTAAATAAATCCATGCCTAAAAATCTCTGCATGAATTGAATTCAATCCACACCATTTCAATCTTTTAAAAGAACTAAACATGTAATTTGCTTGTTAATTAAATTGATTAAACGCTTGGGACAAGTTGGGAAGCAATTAAATCTTGCACATGAAAAGATCAAGAATCCAGGTGTCCTTATAATATGATATACATATATGTTAGGACTAAAGTAGACTTGTCCTTAATTTGAAGATTATCTAATCCACTAAACTAACATTTTGTCCAAAGAACATTTGGGCAGCGACACCCTACTTTGTTTTTATAGGGAAAGGGATTAATTTGACTTTTCAGTCCTTGCATCTGCCCTCAATTTGGAGGGCCATATAATATATGTGTGACTATCAAGTATTTAAGATTATAGGCATGTCCTATTAAAATATCACGAGATCATATATGATAAGATATAAAGGAAAGAGAAAATGATTGAAAATTTTGATACATATTAGAAAAGAGAACTGTGGGGATTAGGGTTTCATTTTGTCCAAATGAGTGGTTGGAATCTGGGTATTGGTTTTGGACAATAGTGTGCAATATCATGTTTACGTGTAGTACATTCATAAAATTATAGGAAAGGGGTACAATATATACATATTAATTTTATTTTCTATTACTAATAATTCATCCAATTTTATTATATATTTTGAAATATCATTAAAAAAAAATTAGTTGACCCTATTCTCATATATAATAGAGTGAGGGGAGGTAAGGTAGTAGGTTGCCCTTAACACCAGGTTGAGAGGAACTTCCGTGGAAGACCTCCGACAGTCAGAATTATGAATTGCCCACCGTGGGACTCGATCCCACGACCACAAGGTTAAGAGCCTTGCGCTCTACCATTAAATATCATTAAAAACATTATATATAAAGCAACGAAAGTCACCTTTAAATTCAATCTAAATTTAATTTAGACAAAAAAAATATTGATTCAAATCTTATTATATTTAAAACTAATGATCAAAATATTGATTATATTTTATCAAAATTTGAGGTTTAATATATGTAATTAAAAAATTATTTAAAATTTTCATTTTCTATTTTAAACTAATCATGATCACTATTAACATTTAAAAATTTATTCCAAAGCGACGAGCATCCGAAACTAACAAATACATATTATATCTCTACAATCATTAATTGACATAACTATTTTTTTTTGAATTAATCACTGACATCCGATCTATTGACCAACTAATCCAGATCGGATAATGCAGAGGCGAGGGCGACCCTCCCAACCCAGTTTGCTCCATTCACGAACGCCAGGATTCAAACCCCTTGACCTTGCTTAAGGGACCTAGTGCCTCATCCCACTAGACCAACTAATCCAGTTTACTTAAGGGGATAACTATTAACATACAAGATAACTTGACAAAAATAATAATTTCATCATTAAACGACTACTAGACTAATAAAACAAGCCCATTATAAACTGAATTATGCTAGTTAAAGGAGAACAATTTTCTCTTATCTCGTTCCACCACATGACATATAGGATAAAATGTGTAAAAATGATCTTTTCTCTTCAGTTCAGGAAACTCACTCTCTTCTTCTCTCTTCCTTTTTCACAACATTCTTTCAACATTAGTGAGGGTAAAAATGAAGAATTCAAGGTTGACCGCTCTTCGTTCAAATTAAAATGAATAAATCACAAACGATCATACCAAATCCTTCGTCCCGACCCATTAAATATGCATAAGTGATCATCTCATCCGTTGTAAAAAAAGAATGTATTTATTTGTTATATTGTATATTACAAGTAGCATCAACAATATCGATAGAACTAATCTATAATTACAACTTTTAATTAGTAAAATAAAAAACTAATAGAATGTTAATTTATTGAGATTTAGGAATAAGCAAATAGCTAGAAGAATGGCAGGGCTTATAGGAAAGGGTTGGGAAGGCAAGTATGAATTATTGAGTTGATGGGCAAATTGAGAGGTTAAAGTATTATATATCATAAAAGAGAAGGAAAAGAAAGAAAGGAAAAAGAGTAGCAGTAAAAAGGAATCGATCAAAGTTGTTTAGTTCTTTGTCACCCAAAATGACATTTTAACATCACATCCACAAAAGCAAAGCAAAGAGAAAAACTAGGAGTAGGCCTTCTTTTCTATATATTACTTTTGTTTATTAATTTTCCTGTAATGTATGTTTAGTAATCATCAAGTGTCATTTTCAACACCTTCCATCTCTCTTTCTCCTCCTCCCCCTCAAAACCCTTTGATCAAACACCAAATCTGAAGAAAAAGAGAAAACCCCAGGATTTTTCACCTGCAAAAACTGTCTGCAACCCCTTTTTTAACCTCTTCTTCTTCTTCTTCTTCTTCACATATAAACATAAAACCTAATCCTTTATCTGATATATAAACTTACTGTGAAGAGTAGGAGGAGGAAGGAGTAATATGGAGCTTTTCCCAGATTTATCCTTGCAAATCAGCCCACCGAACAGCAAACCGACATCGACCTGTCGGACGACAACGGAGGAAGACATGGATTTGGGTTTTTGGAAGAGATCCCTCGACTCGAGGAACTCCATAGCTTCTTCAATGGCGAAACCTGATAACTTTTTCGACCTATCTTTGTCCAGTAAGAGGATTTCAGAGCCCAACTTCAATGGTAATCTTTTCCATGCTTATAATCAAAACCAGTTCACAGCTTACCCTAACAAGCATCTGCAACACCCGCTACTGTATCAGCAGCAGCAGCAGCAAGAGCTTGGTTTCTTGAGACCCATAAGGGGAATTCCCGTCTACCAAAACCCTCCTTTTCCATTTGCTCAAAAGCCTTTGGATTCATCGTTAGTTAGTAATAACATTAACACTAGTAGCACGAGCTTCAACCCCTTCCAGTCTCAAGGGTTGATGAGATCGAGATTCGTGTCGAGGTTTCCGGCCAAACGAAGCATAAGAGCTCCGAGGATGCGGTGGACTAGTACACTCCATGCTCGCTTTGTTCATGCTGTCGAGTTATTGGGTGGTCACGAAAGTATGTTCCATTTATCTCTCTTTTAATCTTCTTCTTTTTCTTCCTCTACTGTTCACTTTTCAGCCCACCTTTTTCCCTTCTTCTTTCACCATTGCTTCGTTTGATTTTATTCTGTATTCTTTGTGGGGGTGTCTTAGGAGCTACACCCAAGTCAGTTCTTGAGCTAATGGATGTCAAAGATCTTACCTTAGCACATGTTAAATCCCATCTTCAGGTAAATAATTTTATTAACCCTTTATCCTCATATAATCTCACCGGGGTTTCTGGTTTTTCACTTGCAGGCTTTCATCTATTCATAATATTCAAATCTTCACTTTTAAGTTATCTTCAACCGTGGGTTTCTCCTTTTCTTACTAACTTCGAGACCAATTTCCATTTCAATTTTTTTCTCTAAATACTCAGAGAAAGAGGAGAGAGAGAGAGAGAAAAGGAAATATAAAGAAACCCAAGTACAACAGCACAATCATTTCACAATGATAAAATTTCTTCTAGCCTCTATATATCTTCTTAAGCACAGTTAAACCCTCATTTTTGACATTTCTCATCTCCAAAGTTTATGTAAAATTAAACTTCATAAAAAAAATTAAAAAGAATTTTAAGCCTTTGGAGAAAACTATATATATACATATGTAAGTATATCCCTTTAGTTTTAACAATCAGTGCTTGCATGTACTGTGTTGCACACAAAGAAAAGTTTTTTATTGGTCTACTTTCTGTTTTTTTTTTACTTATTAATCCTTTTAATATATAAGCTACAAAAAAGGGATATAAATGATGCTAATCTTATTTTGTTTGATTACCTTACTCTTCTTCAGCCTACTCTAATGGATTAATCTTGTTTACTCCTTAACAAAGTTAACTATCTTGCAGATGTATCGAACTGTGAAGACTACAGACAGAGCAGCTGCAACTTCTGGTAAGTATGCAATGTTTCTTCATCATGTTGATTATATAGATATAACCGATAATCATTATCTATTCTGAAAACAACTAATTACCACTCATTTCCCCTCTAACTAAATTTTTGTAATTGCACTTCGCCAGTTTCTTTCATCTTCAAGAAGCATACAATTTCCATTCTCGACACCGGTTGATTAATGCAACTTTTTTTGGCCATATTCAATGAACAAAAAACCATTGACACTTTGGCTTTTTATTTCCTGACACACTTCCAAAGCTGTTCTAATAGCCATCATTTTTCAGCAGCCTTTTTGGAGTCCATTGTTCCCACTGGTCTCGAGAATAATGCTTAAACTTCTCTCTTTTTTGAATCTCATTAACTCAATCTAGGGGGTTTAAAATAAAGTTGATTCTTTTAATTTAAACAGGACAATCAGATGCATTTGAGAATGGATCCTCTGGGGATACTTCCGAAGATTTGATGATCGATATTCAAAACCCAAGGAGATCGGAGATATCAGTTCAGCAAGGAAGATCATCATCATCGAGTGCTCACCAAGACAAGGAATACCATGGTCTGTGGAGCAACTCATCAAGGTTAGTCTTTATATGTGTATTATTTCCCTTCCTATATATTGGTTAAGCATTCCACTGTTTGGTTAGTCAGAAAATTTTCTCTTTTCCCCCCCTGAGATCGTAGTTCGAGTTTAGTTTAGCATATTGTTTCCCTTTGTCAACAGAGTTGGTTTTTGCTTTGTGTTGTTTTGATTCGATAAATCTTAGAAACATGTCAGTCCCTTTGTTTGACAAGAAGAGACAAACAGCTTATCTCTCTTTCCTTGGACCTTTTGTTTGTAGTTCATGAATGTTAATAATATTTGTAATAAAAATCAATACTAGAAATAACCTACTAATATTCTTTCCCTCTCTCAGTCCACCATCACATGCATGCAAATACAAACATGGTTACATTACATGCAAGCTTTTTTTAAGTTGTTCACACGATTCGATCAATTCGGTCGAATTGTGTGGAGCAACAATATCGTTACTATTAACATAACCAAGACAGTAAAAGATAGACTCACTGCCTCAGTTTGCTTTTATGTTCTCTCAGTGTATTAGTCTTTAAAGTTTTCCTTTTTGTTTTCTGTCTGCAGGGAAGCATGGCTGCATGGGAAACATAAGGATTCTGCAGGAAACGTACCATCTCTCCAGGTACTAATCCCAAACCCTTTCTTCTTTCTTATATATATATATATATAGCAATGAACCAAATAACTTTCTTTTGCTCTCCTTTCTTCATTCAGTGATATCCATTGCTTTTCTTCATGTTTTTTTGTTTCAGAATGAAATGGATCTAAAGTGCTTAAGCCATGAGAGACTATCAGATGGAAGCTCATCAAGCCTACCAGGGACAAGCCCCAAGAAGCCTAATTTGGAATTCACCTTGGGGGTACTTCCACATTGATATAAAAAAAAAGTGGGGAGAAAAATGGATTTATATTAAAAAAAAGATATTTTTTATATCTTTGTGTGTGTACACTACTACTCATTTTGAAATGATTATAATCTCTGACGCTGGTGAACAGAATCTGGTACCCTTTCAGGAAGAAAAAAATTCCGAGAGCAAAAGCTAGAGGAGACAAGAAAATGACAGAAAGCAACAAAAGGAGAAATGGGGGACTGGGGTGAAAATTATCCCTAAAATTATGTTACTAAGTAAATATGAAGAGAAGGAAACTAGAAGGGAAAAGTAAGTGACTGACCCTTTAAATATCTTTTCAATTATGAAGTGATCCCTTGGTAATTGTAATGGACCACTTTACATTCTTTTTTTTCCTCATAATTCCTAGGCATCACATGCTTTACACTTTGGGATTAAAAGGGAAAACAAAGGAGAACACTAAAAAGCTTTGAAGAAGATGAGCTATGAAATCTTTGTATATAGTTATTACTCCCCATTAAAATTATTGGGGATAAAATACAAAAAGAAAAGAGTGTTTTAAAAGTTAAAGCTTTCAATTGCCTTTCTCAAAAGAACACATATCCATCAAAGCTTATAAAAAGTTGAGTCAAAAGCAAAACGTAAAGAAATCAATTTTCAATTAGTTCTTCTATATCGCATGATAGGAGTGATTAGCCCTCTTTAATTTGGTTTTTGTTAGCTTCCATGCGTTCTCCATGAAGAAGGGAATTTTCAATTTGTGAACATTGCATTTTGCGTGGCTCATGTTTCTAATGTTAGCTAGGTTTATCAAGTCATGATTACCAGGTAGGAGACGAATGGGTCCAAATATTTGTTGTTTGGTCAAAATCGTGGATCAGGGACCTCAAATTCGAAACATTAAGAAAAGACTAAAATACCCCTGATCGTTCTTTGTTAAGTTAGTCTTATAGTGAGGAATAAAGGGTTTTCCTTTCTTCTTTTGTCTCTCTTCGGGAAGGAGAAATTATTTGATTGACTCGATTCACCATGTTATCCATGGGCTCAGTGAATGAGAAAACTAATTTTTGTCTCCCTACTTTTTATTTAGGCTTAAATATACAAAAGGTGCCTAATGTATGTTCGTTTTTCTAGTTCAGTGCCAAATGTTTTTTCGTTTCAGTTTGGTGGCTAACGTTTCATTACATAACTCAAAATGGATCACGCCATGACGGACCGTTAAGTTTGACCGTTAATCCATTAAAAATGCCACGTGGCATATTTTTTAATATTAAAAAAACAATTTTTGCAAATAAAAAATAAATTAAAATGAAAAAATAAATGGTCCGTAACTCAGCTTGTTTACATTGTTCAAGGTATATTATATTCAAACTACAAACTTAAATAACGTTGCTAAAAATAAGATAATCCGTCACTATTGTTCTGGAATTTGTTTTCAGGAAGTGATATTCAGGGCACTGTAATGCCTGGATGTGCAGAAACATTCCAGGAATCACAGCAAGGGAAAAGGCAACAAAGCCAGAGAAGGTTCCAGGACCAGCATCAAAAGATCTGGAGGTTCCGTAAAGGTGATATCATCGCATTGCTGGCGGGCGTCGTTCACTGGTTCTACAACGATGGCAATGAGCGCCTTGTTACTGTCAACCTCCTTCACATTGCCAACATTGCTAATCAACTCGATAACAATAAGTGTATATGTCTACTTTTACTCATTCTTAGTAGCAAAATAGAAAATTTTCAATTTTCTAACATTTTTTATGATTGATTTCTGTTGTGTTGTAGAAATTCAATCTTGCTGGTAACCCAGAAGAGGAACAGGGAAGACTAAGGAGATTTGCACAACAGAACTTCAGGGAAGCGGAAGTGAACGCGAGGAGGAGGAAGAAGAAGAGAAAGAGAAAGTCTATAACCGCAGCCGTCGCCACGAGCAGCAAAGCTCTTCATGCTGCAACCTTCTCTGCACCTTCGAAAGTGAGTTCCTGGCTCAAGCTTTCAACGTCGACACCAACATTATTAGGAAGCTGCAAGAGGTCCGAGGACACATATACAACATCATTAGAGTCAAGAACAGACTCAACGTAGTATCACCCCACAGAATGGAGGAGGAAGAACGCGAAGAACTCCAGTAGGAGGAAAGACGTCGGGAACATCGCCGCGAAGGAAGAGATAACGACCTCGAGGAAATATTATGTGCCATGAGAATCAAGGAGAACATTTTCGGCCCTGAGCGAGTCGATATATTCAACGTTCAAGTCGGTCGTCTTTCCACTCTTAATAGGTTTAACCTCCCCATCCTCAACGCACTCGGCCTCAACGTCGAAATGGGTGTTATCCACAGCGTAAGCTCCACAAAATCTCTTCACATTTCATCAAATATCGAATCACGTAACATTAAAACTGATGAGTTAATCGATCGACGAATCGACCAAGAGGGGGGTGAATTGATAATAAAAATTTTTGTGGAAGCTTTTGCAGAAAATTAAAAATAATTGCATAACGACTTAGAGTGGTTCGACTTTCTCAACCAAAGTCTACGTTCACTACCTTAGCTATCCACACTAAGCATTTTCTAACAAATTCACTAATTTGTTCTTTCTTTTGATGACAAAGAGTAACCTTAAAACTCCCTCAAGAATTATACCCCAAATTCTTGAGAACACTCTCTCCCAAAGAGAACTACACAAATTTACAAACTTACAAGAAAACCTCACAAGGTAAGATGTTTGAACAATTCTAGAACAAAGGAATAACACTAAAAAATAAATACAATTGAGCACAATAAGTGTTCTTGAAAGCAAAATGAATATTGAATGAAAAATAGGCTTGAAATGCTCAAACTTGAGGTTTGATGCTTTCTCTTTGATTCTCTAGCTTCTCTTCTTGATTGTTTTTGATCAATGGCTCCTAAGCTTGTTTAAATACACATTAGATCACTTCTGAACGTTGGGGGATCATTGGTGAAGTCAATAGAGTCGTTATTGTGTAATTATCATTTAAAAATCTAGTGGGAGTGTGGGGTGCATCGATGCATAGCCAAGGTGCATCGGTACACTATGTGTAAAATTCAAATATTTCAACCGTTATAAGACTTAGTGCATCGATACACTAGGGATGAATCAGTGCACTAATTACATTCAATGTTTCAAACAAGCCTGGAGTGCATCGATGTATGGTCTGTGCGTCGGTACACAAAATACATTCGATGTTTCAATAAACCCTGAGTGTATCGATGCATGGTGTGTGCGTCGGTACACTAAATGCATTAGAAATGGGGTGTGCATCGATGCATCAAATGAGTGCATCGGTACATCCCTTTATAAAATTGATTTTTAGCTTGTTTTTTGTTCGAAATACTTTGTGAAAATTGTTTCAAAAATATTTTAATTTTAAAACACAATTTTATACTTTAGTAAGGATTGAAATTGAACTTTGAAAAACTTGGAGTAATATTTTGATATTCGAATAATTGAATCGAATATACTTTGAAAATGATGTAAAATCTTAAAATCCAATAACACTTAATTTGTTATATCGAAACATCAAAATGTTTTCAACAATCTCTCCCTTTTTGATATAACAAAACATTTGAGTAATTTTAAGATTTTCTTTGAAGAAAATATTTTGAAATCAATTTTGTAAAATTACTTCCCTTAATTTGTAAAATTACTCCCCCTTACTAAAACACATCTTTCTCCCATTTTTGTTAAATCAAAAAGACTCTATAACGTTCTAAACAAGGTTTTGAAAATTTTGCCAATTGATAATAAATAAATATAGCTTAAGCTGCTAAGATCAAAATCAAGAGAAAGGTTAGCCATTAGTTTCATAATTTAATATTCATAAACAAATGTGCAATGGTAATTGGTCATAATGCAACTAATATGTAAATGATGCAAAACTAATAAACATTAAGCTCAAAATGAAAATTCAAACCACACCAAATATATATAAGCATTAAAGTTTAAGCATCCATAACATCCACATCATCAAATTCAAACATAACAATCCAAAAAAATATCAATCCAACAACATCAAAGTGGTTTAACCTAAGTTCAATCTATGCAAAACAAAACAGAGCAAGGCAAGGTTTAATCCATATAAGGATCAGGAGGATGAGAAGGATAACGTGCTCGCATCTCGAGTGTGAGTGCATCTAAACGTTCTTTCATCTCCCGTTGTTAAGCCCCCATAGCAGTTAAATGAGACTCAATGGATGCAAACCTCAGATCAAATGACTCTAAGAATGGTCGAAAATATGGAGGCGTTTGATCCTTTTGTTGTGTCGGTGTCGGCTCGTCCTCAGGTACATGTTCATCAATGTCGCGCATAAGAGCTTCAAGCTCTGGATCATCATCTATTGCCGGTGCCGGTGGAGGTGGAGCTCGTGAAGAACTAGCTCCCGGAGTTTGCTCAGTTGGTCGATAAACCCATTGACCAGTTTCCTTATCATTTTTCCATCCTGTTTTCTTTAATGAAGTGAGATTGTGTTGGTTCTAAATAGGGATGGGAATATCAAGACTGACCCTAAGACTGAGTTTGATAAACAAATTACTCAGAAGACAGCCGTAAACTAAAGTTTCTATATTCTTAGAAGGGACAGTGTTTACGGTATCTACTAATTCACTAAAAATGATATGTGGCAAATTTATTTTCTTATTATGTTGGATACAATGTATCCACCATATATTTATGATCCTGAGATAGGAGTACGTACCTCTGGATGGTCTAAACCACCAAGAGATCATCAAATGTAGGAATCGATCGTGATGAGAGCGTAAGGTACTAACACTATCCTTAGACTTATAGGGTGATTCCACAGTCTCTTTTTCATTATATAAACCTAAGTTATCTAGTCCAAAATGGGTATTGATCGTGTCAGAGTCAATAAAAACGAATTGACCTAAAAGATAGGATCGAATTCCCATGGTTTCGGTTCGACGCTCGTTTTGGACACATGCCGCATTTGAATAGAAGATGCGGACTAATTGATGATAAACAATAGGTTTGAGTTTAAAGAGTTTATCAAACTTCCAGGA